AAAAGTACTTGTTTCTAAAACTCATCTTTGCTAATATACATCTTTTTTAGGACTGAGACAATTTGATGGTTTTTACATTTTCTCTGTTAAACAGCTTTATCTGCATTTTAGTTGTTTGTTTATTTAGATTCTGCACTATACAACATAAGGTTAACACAAAAGGAAAAAATAAAACTAAAAAAGACTAGATTTATTTTTAAATTCAAAGCCGAAAAAGTTCGATCCTGGAAGTAGCATAGGATCCCATCTCAGGCACAGGGCGGGAACAGACGGGTGACAAAACAGAAGGGATTTTAATGCGTTTATCTTCTCAGGAAATATATTATTAACCTTTAACACGTTACATTTTAGTACGCTTACTACTTTTAGGGAGGAAAACGTTTAATTTAGGTCCCTTTTTATAAAGTAAAATCGAGAACAACCAGGATGTACATCTGGCTGCACAAATGAGATGGTACGGATCGGGTAGTGACAGAAAGCACTTCCTGCACAGTCCTGCAACAATGAACATTGAAAAAACAAACTTTAAAGGTCATGAAAGAAATGTAACTCATTAGTGAAACATCTACATGCTTCTTGTTAAAAAGAACATTTTAAATAAAAGTGCAAACACAATATTGGTTCAGCCTTAAGGCAGACAAACATTACCTTGAATCAGTATATCTATAAAAGAAAAAATAGCTATGCAATTGCACAGAAATATAAAACAAGCTCTTGGAGCATTACTGGAAGAAAATAATTTACTAATAATTCATGCCACTGTCAGCTTTGCAAGGCCACTGGTGTTTATGCTCTCACTCAGTGAACAATGGCAGAGAAAAGAAGACCTCTCAAGAAAGCCGCATAACAGAAAGAATAAACTCACTTATAATGGCACAAAATATTTGAAGGACAGACTAAGAAATGCTAAGTCATTTATGTTGTTGCTGTAGTGATTCTTCAGGTGAGACCTTTGAGAGCAGAAAAACGAAAGGTCACTGCAAACCCAGATGGCTACTAATTACAGTCGGACACACAAGGGCAACCTTTATATTTGTTTGTGTATGTATGTGTGAGAGGGTCTAAGTAACAATGTGACCTTCTACAGATGAAACTCTTAGGCCCGATTTACAAAAGGTGATCCATGGAAACAGGATATTTTTTAAGTTTCTGATAACATGTTTTAACTACAATCTCTGTACAGACTGTAGCAGCAGGAATGTGAAAATGGTGCAGCTCCCCTGTCACTAGTTGGAGGTATTTTATTTGAAACTCAACATGCAAACACTTAATGCTGAAAAAAATAAAATAAAATAGAATCAAAAACAGGGGGCAAATTAGCACTTATATGGAAAAACATTGTTAAACCCAAAGGAGTCAACCAACAAGAAAGTACTCGGTTATCTGCAATTGTTCTTTTAATATTTCTGACTTTCATTGGTTATAAACTGGTTGGCATTAGTTATGTTGTGCAAACAAGCATCAGTTTCTGTTGATTTTAGTCATATTATACATATGCTAGGGCTTCCCCACATAGGATGATTCTCTTTTTCCTGTCTGTGTGACAATGAGGACAGGGACTGTCACATTATTCAATAAAATAAAAAATGAAAAAGCGTGCCGTTGTCATGCAGAGAAGCAGTAAAGCTACAGCAACATTTTTTTTTTTATCAAAATACCGTGAACAGAATCTGTAATGTAAAAACTCAAGTAATTTCCATCTTTAATCATGAGGTATTTAAAAGGATATCCTGTTCAATGGAGCATGCAAAGCATGTACAAGGTTCATTCAAGCTGTGAGAGATCAAGAGAAAGCAAGACTTCAGTAGATAAAAGGAGAGCTGACCAGTAATTCTGCCTAGTTTTATTCTTCAGAGTGTCCTACTTTTGTCTGTTTCAAAACATCCTGAAATGCTTACTCCTGTTCAATAGGACAAACACTAGGGCTGCAACTGACAATTATTTGCAAATCGATTAATCTGTTGAATATTTTTTCGATTAATCAGTTAATTATTAGATAGCAAAAGGTTCCTTAAAATTTTTACAAAATTAAACCAGGTGAAACTAAAACTTTTCTACTTGAGGAGTTCTGCACAGAACATACTGACAGATGAAAAAATGTTTCTATCTTAAATGCAAAATATTTACTTTTATTACAATTTTGGCATAATTGCTGCTCAAGATGGGTCACTCTGTCAACTAAAGGCATTTTTTTTGACTCTCTACACTCCAGTTAACAATTAATTGATTACTAAACTAGTTGATGATTATTTCAATAATCGGTTAATCACCATTAATTTGTAATCGGTGTTCCTCTGTCAACATGTAGAAAAATCAATCACAGTCAGTCTACAATGAAGATGTAACATTTTGGCAACATGGGACAAAGAGGGAGTCACATTTTTAAAGGAAACAAAGCTGCTGTGAAGCATAAAAGTAGAAGATATGGTAAAGGAAGATTTTGTTTTGTGCTTTTTACTTAGCAAGATCCAAAACGCTGCATTACTGTATTGAAGTCGTAGCATATGGTCCAAATGTTTTTAACCTCTTAATGTCCACCTCATTTTGGCAAATTCTCGACTATTTTGCATACCCAATGGAAAAGCAAATAAATTAGGAACTGTAAGCCCAAATTACATGTGGGATACATTATTTGAAAGCTAACACCCTCTAGTTGCTGAATATATACATGAAAATAGTGTGAGTAAAATACCCAAGCTGCATCAGTTCAAACAAGACTCAAAGTTGTTGTTTTTTAATTCTCGAAAATAGTAGGTATTTTTTGAACAGCAGTTATAAAGACATGCTTGCTTTTTGGGGGCTGCTTTGTCATGGTACATTTTACCATGCTGCTATATCTGTATTAATTGTGCTATATCCATAAAATGAGCTAGGTGGTTGAATTGTGGAGAATCTAAGCTTTTCAACGATGTCTAAAATGTTTAAGTATAATATCCTTTCCGCAGATTACAGAGGTGTGAACTCTTGCAGCTTTAAAATCTAAATAGATGGACGGACTTTTTCTAAAATGAGAGTTAGAGGTGCATGTCAGATTACTTTGTTTTTGTTTCAGTCCAATGTGATTATGATTTCTGCTGTCTCATGAAGGATTTTACTCCCATTTGTTACATAAGAGTGCATCTGAGTGAGCAGATGTGCCCGTGTATGTGCTATTTACTGATCCGATTGTGTTACGAGCAAATTAGATAACAGAAGTTCTTTCGTGGATTCATTGTCACGGTTTGGCAAACAAGCCATGAACGTTTTTGATTCGCTAACTCAATTCAGACGTGTGTTATCATTTTTAAAGGTTAGGGTTTATCCTTGTGTTACAATATGGAGCAACTGTAACAAAAAAACAAGAGTTGAACTTTTTAAGGTCTGTTTTGCGGCAGCAATGTCCTGCATAATTCAGCTGTGGCTTTTTTTTTAAGTGCTATTAAAGTGGGTATGGTATTCTGCTCAAATCATATTTGATCTGGTAACGTTCTTGCTAAGGCACGTCATTTGTGACACCCTTTTTGATTAAAAAATCTCTCGTCATCATGTCCACCCTCTCAACCCCATCCCTGGAGGGGGCGTTGAAAGGACAGGATGATGTACGGTTGTGCTGTGAGCAAACATGATCCTTTGGAGCTGTAAAACTATGTTTCTGAAAGCGATAGAGCATCTGTCCAGCATTTTTTTCAAAACTTGAAGCATGCATGAATGCATGTATGAGCAGTGGACCAAATGTTTGCATTCATCTTAAAGCTGTGACAACACCACATTTAACCCATCAATCATCTGCAAAAAGGAAGTTTACCACAAATGGGAAAAAGAGAGAGAGAGCAAGAGAGTCCGGCTGCTCCTGTGGGATTTATTTATGACCCAATCAGATCTGGGCCATTCTAAATTCAATGAAAAATCAATCCATGCATTCAAGCAGACACTGAAAGTATTAAACAGATATGTCTTATTTGACCCTTTTCCTCATATTTCAATTTATCTCTGTCTGGTTTTAAAACAAAGCAGCTGTAGCTGCTGTATTTCCAAGCAGGAAGTGGTATACACACTCAAGTGTTTTCCAAAAGGAGAGTGTGTCGGGAGAGATAGTGCAAGGGTGTGCACCAGCTGCAGTGGACATGGACTGAAACAGCTGGATGGTGCTAACAGAGCAATGCTTATTCTCTACCAGAACACCCCCCAAAACACACACACACACAGTTGGGTTTTCATGACATATGGAGGTATTTCATTGACTTGCATTCATTTTATAGGCCTAACCTAGAACATTACTCTAACCCTATTACCAACATATACCTAATCCCAAATCACAGGACAGAACTTAAGCATATGGGGACCAGTATGTAGGATATTTTACAAAATACTGCACCCACATTGTAGGTAAAACACGTCCACCCACACACACACACACACACAAGTTTGTATTTCTATCCATACTAAGACTTTACATTGACTTAAATTAATTTTAGTTATTGCGTTAACACCCAACTCTAATCGTTACCAGTATATACCTAAAACTAACTAGTTAATTTACACCATACATATAAACTGACTGCCTAACATTAAATATAGGGGTCAACCATGTTAGGACCAGCCTTTGGTCCCCAAAAGGTTAGTAAATTTATCAAAGTTGGTCCTAAATAGGTAACATAAACAAGTAGCCTACACACACGGGTAAAAGAAGTGAATAACATCCTGGGAAAAGTTGGACAGTTTTGAAAATTATTATTATTATTATTTTTTTTTTTTTTTTTTTTTTTTTTTTGCATACAGGATTCAGATGAAATCTGACTTCTGACGTGCACGCGCACATGCATATATACACGCACTAATCATGGATCTACTGTCAGAGCATCTATCATTTAAACATCTAGAAACTTGGCAAGTTTAGTGATTTAGTTAATGCACAAAATAAGACTGCGAGAAAAAGAACAAAACAAAACAAAAAACCTCCTCCTGCAATAAATAAATAAATAAATTTAAAACAGGACCCACTAAATCAGCGCGACACTCACCCGAGTCAAATTCTTTACTCGCAATCCGAACAGCGCTTCTTCCAAAAAACAAACGTCCTGAGTGGATCTCTGGTGGAAAGAAACAACTTTTCTTCAATCACTTACTCGCCAAAACCAACTCAGTCCTCCTTCAATCCTCTGCGTCTGTTTCTCGTCACCAGAACCCATCCAACCGTACAGCAACCCTCATTATTCGCAACTGCGCTCGCATATGGAGTATGTTCGTTTCCGTCACCGTTAGAGCCCGATATAATGCTCTGCTCTGAAAGGCGGGCGGCGCTCTCTGGCTGCTTCTCGTCCACAAAGGCAGCGTTTGAGACAGAGGAAGGAAGGGCATGGGCTCGGGAAGAGGGGAGGGGGACCTTATGTCTTTCAGCTGCATACAGTGGCATTTTATGGCTTCTTCTAAGCATTAGAGCTGAATGCACACTGCTTTGTAAACGTCTAATGCTTTTGCATTAAGATTTAAAATCATTGTAAAGCTTTAGAGTTTCTATGTAATGTTGGAATGGAAATTTAGCTGAGGATCTTAAGACAAGAGCATGGTGTTATTCTACATGTAAAATATGTATAACCCAGTGAGATGTATCCGGTCCAATGAGTTCTATGTAAAGAAGAATCAAAACAGTATTTTACTTTTAACTTAAAAGTAAGCCTGGGTGTCAACGAACCAGAGGAAGCTAGAATAAATTGCAGATTGTTAGAATATTTTTTTTTGTTTAGGCAGATAGAGATAAACTAATTCAGCTTCAAAATAGAGCCACATGAATAAGAATTTCAAGCCTTGATCGTGAAGCATTATGACTAAAAATTGCATTACTTCATAGTAAAAACACCCATGCATGCCATTAGAGTACACCCCTGCCTGCATGATTTTTCTATTAAAGACAATCTATGGCTAAACTTCAATTACCTAATTAATAAGAAGAAAGAAGAGCTCTGTTTTCATGAGGTCTTAGTTTGCAAAAAAAAATAATAATAAAAATCTGCAACAGCTGACAAAGGTTGTGTGTCACATCAAAGAGTGTCATTTTTATATAGGTCTTCGATTTTAAGTAAATGTGTGCAAAAAAACAGCAGGGGTAACAGTGTGGTTCAGATTTTTGTCATGTTTTACTTGTATTCTCTTAGAATGAATTATAAATTAATGGCTCATGCTCACTATTTACCATAGTTTAGCATGAAACCTCTGCTGCTGTCTCAGTTATTAGAAAATATACCCCAATAGAACCTATATTCAAATATACTGTTTGATCTGGTTCTGCTTCTTTTTAGTGCTCTTTTTTATTCTATATGCAAATAAAGAGATTAATCTGAAATTACATACAAAGCAGACAATATTGTAATCATTTGCACTTTTAGGGTGAAAATAAAATCCAGGTAAGCTGGAATAAAAATAGAACGTGTTCTTTATGTTTTGATAGACTCCAGCTTACGCTTCACCCAGTGCTTCCTATGTTTGTGCTGCCTCAGGAGGAGAATGCTCAGAAATCTTGTCACTGATGAACTCTGGCTGACCTCCTCTTCTGTACGTATACTAGAGAGCAATTTATTTTGAGTACCAATAACAATAGTAATCGCCCACTTTCCTCCTTCTCCTCATCTCCCTGTTTTTCTTGACTCAAATCTTTTTTTTCTTTCACTTCCCTGTACCTTTTATGATGGCTAATCCTAACTCGACATCCTGCCCTCCCTCTTGTCTCGATCCCCTTCTCCTTTAAATCATCACCACGGTTCATTTCAACTTCAAGCTTTGGCAGGCTGGAACGGTAATATGATTTCCAGCTGAAATGAAACGTGCAAAATGTGCTCAACCCTCATCCCTAGTGGGCTCAAGTTTATGTCCAATTCACTGGACTGGGGTGAATACAAATATTTATTTTGTCTATTAGTCTAAATGAATACATATTTGAATCAAATATTTTCTTTATGCTTTTTTAGCAGGTTGAAAACATATTCCAGCATTACAGGATGTTCTCCAGTTATCTTCTCTCAAAATGTTAAGGACCATGTTTGCAGTGTTGCAAAGCAGTCAGAGCTCACTCCTCCGAGCCAAGTAGTGTATTGTAAAATAAGTCTTTGCTCTTGAAAACAACAGTGGGTTGTGCGGGGCTAGGTTGTTCAGAGAGAGGTCTGCTCATGGCTTACACGGTGGGGCAGTTGTTAGCAGGAAGAAGGTCCTCTTTTTGATCCCAGCCGCAAGTCTTTCTTTCATATATTTGTAGATTATGTCCTTATACTGCGGAGTCCTCACAGCAAAAGCATATTTTATATGCTTAGTTAATTATATCTTTAGTTAATTTATCAAAACAGCTTTACAATAGTGTAAGTAAAAAAAGTACAATTTTATTTATATGTCATCTTTCCCAGTTTAGCAAAAGACATACGAGTAACAAAGCAAAAATAAAGCACATAATCAATTAAAACCTGTCTGTACAATTTTGATTTAATTTGCTTTTTGAAATAATCAATAGATTTGACTAGCCTCAGTGGGAAACACTGCTGCTTTGCAGCAAGAAGGTTTGGGGTTCACTTCCAAGCCCAAGATCTTTCTGCATTGAGTTTGCATGTTCTCCTTGTACATGCGTGGGTTCTCTTCTGGTACTACGGCTTCCTCCCACAGTCCAAATACCTCCACAGACATTTAGGGTAATTGTCTTCTCTAAATTCTCCTTAGGTGTGAATGTATGTGTGAATGGTTGTTTGTCTCTGGGTTGCCCTGCGATGGACTGGCAACCTGTCTAGGGTGTACCCTGCCTCTCGCCCATTGACAGCTGGAGATAGGCACCACCACCCCTCACGATCCCAGCAGGGATAAGCATGACAAAAATGGATGGATGGGTGCTAGCCTGAAATGCCTTATCCCCACAGGTCTGAAAGGAGACATAAGTTATAAATAACACCTAGTTTTTCAATTTAGAACAGCACACAAAAAAGATATCACCCCCACCCCTACTTTTCACAGAGTGCAGAGCAGGAGGATGATTTGGGTGCAAGGATAGGGAGGGTGTTTCTGTCTACTTCTCTTATTAAATTCCATATTTTCAGGCAGCTGTTTTTCTTTTAGCCAACATAAAATACCAAATGCTGTGCTCTGTTTTTGAAGTAGTTCTGTGGTGAATACCTCTAAAGAGCGTCTATGGTCGGCTATCCGAACAGTGCTGGCAGCTAGAAAGCAGATGCTTCCTAGCTCCAATTCATTTAGCATAGGGACCTCCTGATGTTCCTAATGGCCACTGGGAAATACGCTGCTGCCCATAGTTCTTTTTGTCAGAGGACATACAGGCACCACCTCATAGAATTCAACAAAAATGTCTTATTTACTACAAAGTATTGATTCAAAGGACTGAAATAGTTGCACTTCACTTCACATTTTGATTTTTAGGGGAAAAAACAGAATCTCAGTAAAACAAACCTTTTTTTTTTTGTTTGTTAATAAAAAACAAAACAAAGATAAACACAATGTATTAATACCTTTGGTAGCCATTGTGCAGAGATGCATTATGCTCCTGGTGTGTAACATATCTCTAGCTGTTAAAGCTCCATAAAGTAAGATATAACCGACTAATCGACCATTCTTCACAGTCACGCCTCTACAGAAACACTATACTGCCAGTCTTTGTTTCCAATCCGCTTTGCTATGTCTACTGAAAGGCTAAAAGCTCTGATTGTATGACTCACACATGCTTTGTCCCCTCAGGGTCTTCATCCAATGCCAGACACCTGACCAACAGTCGACCCTCAGCCTCAACCTAATCCAGAAATATCAAAGGGCTTCTGGCGGTACCTGTGATTTATTCACAAGAAAGTAAAACATTCCTCTGATGGACTTTAGTTTTAGTGAGTTTCGAGAAAAAAAACTTAAGTACAGCTCACTTTTCCCTCCTTTATTAGTTCAGGAGTTTTTCAAGTGGATTAATTTAATGTGAAATCTTTACAAAACCTTGTAAGCAAAACAGAACCTTTGTTTTGTCTATTCAAAACACATCAAAAATTACAACTTTTCTGCTAAGTTCCCAGCTTGAGTTTTGTTGCAAGCCCAGCAAAATAAACACAGTTATTTGCATATTTATGTAATGATCAAATAATTAAAGGCCAGCATAGCATGACTCATTTCATTCACTCAGATTCTGGCTCAGCCAATTTGAGCTTGTCCAGTATTAAATACTTTATCTTAAAGCGGAATCAGCATGGTTGAAGAGGAGGGAAATGGGGCAGAAAACTCTTCATCTCTTTTTTGAAGCTTCTATCAGCTCAGAATTTCCCATCTCTTTGGTGTCAAGGTTGTCTTGTAAATAGATGTGAATGCTCAGCTTCTGTCTGATTACGGAAATATATCCGCTTTCACTACAGTCGGAGATCTCTCACTACCCGCTCATTGAAGATGATTATTTAATACCATGATTCCACACATGCTCATTAGCAGAGGCTCTGTGCAACAAAAGCTCTGCATACGTAATGTTTTCAGTTGCCAGCCACCACTTTGATCTTATTTCTTTGTCCTCTCAAACACTCTCAAATGCTTTAAAGGCTATTCTGTATGCTCCTCATGCCCTGCTGAAATGGCACTACAACTGAACTCTGACCCAAAAAGATGCATGCAGTAGAAGTATTATCCTCACTAAGGTTATTTATACATTACATGCAGATTGTACTGTAAGTACAATCTCATAAGCACTTTCCTAAATCACATGAAACTTAGCTTTTATCAACCTTTACCAATATTATTTATTGTTGCTAAAAGCCAGAATTATTATTATTGATGTTTATTTACATCCATTTTCCATCACGCTTATCCGAAGTGGGGTTGCGAGGGGTGCTGCTGCCTATCTCCAGCTGTCAATGTGCGAGAGGCAGGGCACACTCTGGACAGGTCGCCAGTCTATCGCAGGGCAACACAGAGAAAAATTGGCCAAACAACCATTCATACACACACTCACACCCAAGGAGAATTTGGAGAAGCCAATGAACCTAACAGTCATGTTTTTGGACTGTGGGAGGAAGCCGGAGTACCTGGACAGAACCAAGGCATTGCAAACTCAATACAGAAAGATCTTGGGCCGGGAATTGAACTCCGAACCTTCTTGCTGCACCTACTGTTCCACTGAGCTACTGTCAAATCCATTGATTATTTCAAAACGCAACTTAAATGAAAATTGTACAGACAGGTTTTAATTGATTAGGAGATTTATTTTTGCTTTGTTACTCATATGTCATTTGGGAAGCTGGGAAGGAAGATATAAATAAAAATTTACTTTATTACT